CACTTTGGAAACACAAAAATGCTTAATTATCAAACAATTTATGTAAAACTTTTTTATATGGGAAAAAATCCAATGTCAATGATAAAAATTTTGATTTGTATTAAATATTATACTTGTGATGCTCTAAAGTCATTTATATGATTCATTATAGTTTAATTAATATTACTAATTATTAATTATACCATAAATTTGAGCAGCTAAAGATATTCTGGTAAGACAAAAAAATTGACATGTAATTTTTTCATGAATATTCGTAAGTTAAAATTTGAATTTTCAAAAAACCGTTAAGCACAAGTCCGTTACGAATTAATGCAAAATAACTATTAATATACGATGTGCATTTAGCACACATAGCTTGAGCATAAATTTATGCTGTTTTAAATGTATTGCATTATTTATAACACTTCACCAACTTAATTAAATTGACTTTTCTTTTTATTAACGGTTTGACGTATTTTTGCATAACATATAAATGATATTCATTGAATTTAAATTTGAAAATCCGTTATAAATACGTTACATATGTGATTTGCATCTTTATGTTAAGAATCCACACGTTATGAAGTAGAAATGGTACAGATAAACACAAAATCTTTACGAGTGATTTTTAATGTACTTTACTAATGAATGCTTTAAAAAAATTAAATTTTATAAAACGAATGAAAAATTTTGAAAGTCGTTACTAATTTCCCATTGAAAACTGGTAATTTATAAACAGTTGAACGCAACGAAGTGAAGTTCAACACACCTGTAACCTATAAACCTACTGTGATCTATAAACAGTTGAACGTAACGAAGTGCAACGAAGTGAAGTTCAACACACCTGTAACCTATAAACCTACTCTAATCTATAAACAGTTGAACGTAACGAAGTGCAACGAAGTGGAGTTCAACACACCTGTAACCTATGAACCTACTGTAATCTATAAACAGTTGAACGTAACGAAGTGCAACGAAGTGAAGTTCAACACACCTGTAATCTATAAACCTACTGTAATCTATAAACAGTTGAACGTAACGAAGTGCAACGAAGTGAAGTTCAACACACCTGTAACCTATAAACCTACTGTAATCTATAAACAGTTGAACGTAACGAAGTGCAGCGAAGTGAAGTTCAACACACCTGTAACCTATAAACCTAATGTAATCTATAAACAGTTGAACGTAACGAAGTGCAACGAAGTGAAGTTCAACACACCTGTAACCTATAAACCTACTGTGATCTATAAACAGTTGAACGTAACGAAGTGCAACGAAGTGAAGTTCAACACACCTGTAACCTATAAACCTACTCTAATCTATAAACAGTTGAACGTAACGAAGTGCAACGAAGTGGAGTTCAACACACCTGTAACCTATGAACCTACTGTAATCTATAAACAGTTGAACGTAACGAAGTGCAACGAAGTGAAGTTCAACACACCTGTAACCTATAAACCTACTGTGATCTATAAACAGTTGAACGTAACGAAGTGCAACGAAGTGAAGTTCAACACACCTGTAACCTATAAACCTACTGTGATCTATAAACAGTTGAACGTAACGAAGTGCAACGAAGTGGAGTTCAACACACCTGTAACCTATAAACCCCCTATAATCTTTATTTCTCTATTTCATTAGAATAAGACTAAAAAGTAGAAAATAAAATACTTTATAAAAAAAAACTTTTTAAAAAACTACGTTTTTCGCGTAGACTAAAAAGTAGAAAATAACTTTTATTCTTGGTTGTAAAGAATTTGGTTTTAAATTTTCAGATTATATTTAATAAATTTTTATATCCTAGTCAATATTGTTCACAAAGTTTCGAATAAGTGCACTTTGATCTTATCGTATAACTCAACAACTTAAAAACGTGGGCGCATTATAAGAGGAGAAATAAGTTTATGTGAAATCAATACTTTATGATAACCTTAAATTAATGCGCCCACGTTTTTAAGTTGTTGAGTTATACGATAAGATCAAAGTGCACTTATTCGAAACTTTGTGAACAATATTGACTAGGATATAAAAATTTATTAAATATAATCTGAAAATTTAAAACCAAATTCTTTACAACCAAGAATAAAAGTTATTTTCTACTTTTTAGTCTACGCGAAAAACGTAGTTTTTTAAAAAGTTTTTTTTTATAAAGTATTTTTATTAATATCAAACTACTACCAACAAATATTTCCGTTGTAAACAAAAAAAAATATGTTATGTAATAATCGGTTAAACTTTTCCCATACAAAATTGTTTATGCATCTTGTGCCTCACTGGAAGCATCTTATGACTCCAAAAACAATACAGTTTTTGCGATAGCCATTATCTATCAGAAGCAAAAAACCGGAAGTCTTAATATTGAGTTTGAATCGAGCTTTCGCACCGATTAATTAACAGAATGCCTTTTTTTGCGATTTCTCGGAACTGAAACTGCCAAATCAAAAATTGTTTTTACCATTAGATAGGTATTTCGAGGCACAACTTTTACATATCAGGTATTTGGGTTGATTCCGTAAGCCTGAAGCAGAAAGTTAAACAAACTGATTTTCCGAAAAACCAAAAACAATATATTCACAAAAATTGAAAATTTTGTGTGAATATGAAATAAAATTCTAGAATCTAAAGTAAAGATTTTTGAACAGAGTTTGAAAATAAAATGAAAATTGCTCTATTTTGAAAATAAATCAAAATGAAAATTATGAAAATTGCCAATTTTGATCAAAGCAATTTTGCAATTTTGTCAATTTCAGAAAATTGCAATTTTGGAAATTATCAATTTTTATTTTTGTGACGTCATAAATATTTGATGAATAATTTTGTATGAAAATTTTCTTCTTTTTAAATGAATTTTTTCTTCAGAAAAACAAAAGATACAGTTTATTTCCTGGATGTTGATATTCGTTTTTAACTTAATACTTGCTAATTCCTGCGTGTTTGATGCGTTGTTCCTTTAAGTTTATTTTAAATTAAAGGTACTCATAATGCTCATAATCATAATTTTAAATTCCAGGAAATAAACTGTATCTTTTGTTTTTCTGAAGAAAAAATTCATTTAAAAAGAAGAAAATTTTCATACAAAATTATTCATCAAATATTTATGACGTCACAAAAATAAAAATTGATAATTTCCAAAATTGCAATTTTGGAAAATAAACAATTTCCAAAATTGCAATTTTCTGAAATTGACAAAATTGCAAAATTGCTTTGATCAAAATTGGCAATTTTCATAATTTTCATTTTGATTTATTTTCAAAACAGAGCAATTTTCATTTTATTTTCAAACTCTGTTTTTGAATTTAAAATAATATTTTTTTTTAAATTAATCTTTAAATTTAAAGCAAATTAAGTTGATGGAAGTGACAGAACTCATAAAAACATAAAGCACGAATGCTTGTGAGGCAGAGGAAATTTTATTCATGTGAAAGATATTATTACAAATATCTTAAGTTTGTATGGAAATTTAGATTGGACTTGACTCCATGATTTCTGCGATGTTTTGTTTTTCTTCAAATATTTCTGCGAATTACTGTTTTCAAAAATCAAAAAGAAAAACTTTTAAATCTAAAATATTTTCTTTGAGTTGCAAACTTTTCGAAATCAAAAATTGTACATTAAAATCAAAAGTTTTATTTTGAAATGAAAATATAATAAAAATTTGCACTTTAGATTTTTAAAATGAGTATTGTTAATTTCAAAACTTTATTTTAAAATTCAGAAGAAATTTTTTAAAATTTAAAAATTTTACTCTAGATTTAAAACTTTCAACTTTTCAACTTTTGTTTTAAAAAATTCGTAAGAAAGGAAAGTTTTTTGCTATTTCTGAAACAACGGCTGTTCCTACCTTGCCCAAAAACAATACAGCTCTTCTATAGAGCAGCACGGATCAAATGTAAAAAACTAGAATTCTCTACGATGTCTTGTTATTGAGATTTCTTGCTGATTAACTTGCATGCTTGTTTGCTTGCTTACAGAAAACGTATTTTGCGATTTTCTCAGCAATGCCGTAACCAATTTGAAATCCATTTTTAGAAAATGATGTAAAATATCAGGCACATACTTTTCTTCTGGGACCTTTTATAACCAATTTTGCTTCGTTTCCTCACAAAATGCGAAAATCTGATTTTTCAATCTGAACAAAACCAATAGATTCACACGTGAAAACGGTGTGAATATAATAAATTTTTATCGAAAACCGGTTCAATGATGAATTCCATTTTTGCATTTGTATCATATGTAAATTTATCAAACTACTGGGGGGTCCTCGATTTGAATAGATTCGATTTGAGTAGAAAATTTTCGGAATAAAATAACTACTCAAATCGTGGACCATCAGTAGTTTGAACTGAGAGTATGCAATATTTTTTCCCCTTCATTATCTCATTAGATTGGCGATGCATATTTTTTGAACAAAAATACAAAATTTTTAACGAATAAAACTGTTGAATGTTGAACAGTTTAGACTTAAAAAATGTGTGGTGTATTTTGTTATTTAAACACAGTTTTGGAGAATGAGTTAAATAATTTTTTTAAAATCAAAGTTATTCCGAGTCTTCAGTATATATAAGGTTTCACTTTTCACATTATTCAACCAAATTTTGATCGTTGATCCATTTCAGCTCCTTGTTCCTATGTATTAGAGATCAGGTTTGGAAATTGAATATTTCAACCATCGATCGTTTAAATTTTGCGTTTTTAATGCACAGATGATATATGAAGAGAAAAGAAAATCTGTATAAAAATAAAACAACCAATCACAGGAAAGGCAATCAGCCATAACTACAGACCAATAAACACATATCATTGGTTTTTTAATAAACTGCGTTTAATATGTATAGGCTTGCTTAAAAATTTAAAATTTTACTTCTTTATTCCTTATTTTAACTTTTTTTTTGGTCAAAGATATATTGAGTAATTAAATATCTGTCAATAAAAATTTGTAAGTCAATTTAAAGCCAATAAGAAGTAAACGAAAAAATAGTTTGCAGAAAAACAAATATTTATTAATTTATGTTTATTACCAGTTTTTTTATCTATATGAGACGAATATTTCTTTTACAAACTTATACACTAATTATTGAAAAGCTTTGGAAAGTGGTTCATCTTCAAATTTTTATCATTCCTTTTAACTTCATTGGTATAGAAGTAGTACAAATCATTTTCATTATTGTCATATAAATGACTTTTTTGAGCTTCAAAAGGAATAAAATTTTGATACATTTTATTATTTCCAAACGTATCATGATCTTCAATCAAGTTCATATCATAAGCAAATTTCCTCAATTCTCCGACTTCTTTATCTCTCGCAATGCTTGTTAATTTTTGTTTTAATGTAGAGTCTGATTCTAAAGCTTTATCTAAATCTTCCCATGACAAAAATTTTAAATCTCCATCTCCAATTAGCATTTCATCTTGTAAAAAATCAAATATAAATTTCGAATCAAAAGGTTGCAAATGATTATAATTTTTTGAATCGTCAGTTTCCTGAACCTCGCTTCTCCGTCCCAAACGTGGAATATTTTTTGATCCTTGCTTAATGAATACTCGTTTTCCTAACTAGATTATTAATTTAAAAAATTAGAATTTAAAATTTAAAAGAATTATTTTTATACTACTCACTCTCGGTATGTTTTTGGTTGTTTTCAGGAAAAATCCTGGTGCATCATTTGCGGACACAAAATAGAAAAATAAAACTAAGACAAAAATAGTAGTTATCTTCATGTCTTTATCTTTCTGCAAACTCAATATAACTGATATATTAAATAAAAAGTTTAGTGAATTTTATATATGTTTCTTTAAACTAATTTGTATTCAGTCCTCACAAACACAAGAAATAAGGGTAACAAAGAACACAGTTAATTAAAGAATTATAGAGGTTAAATAATACAGCTTTTCGACCAGTGATCTATTTCTGTTGGTAGATTGTGATATTTCTGCAATGCTCGTTCAATATGGTCTGGTAGTATTAATAATTTATGCATTTGATACTCCTTTTGCATTTTGCTTTCATGTCCAATGGCAGCGATAAATTCTTGATACTAACAGATTAAAAAATTTATACGTATATATATAAAAATTGAGTTCTTTTTTAATAATGACTTGATTATGTACCTTTAAATTTTCAAATGCTTTCAAAACTACTTCCCGATCGATGCTTTGCATTGTTGAACTTTTAAAGGAAAATTTATTGTAGCGCGTTAAGATGATTTCAAAATTAAAAGGATCATTATCATATATCTCAGAATGATGTTTAATTGAAATCAACAGACATATTTCTAAAACTGAGAGTCCATTTATAAGTTTTACTTTGTCATCTTCAAAATACAAATGCTCAACTGTTTTTGAAATATCATTTTCATTGATTTTTGCTTCATCAGTTGAAAGAATTTCATATAAAAATCTTTTTAATGGTCCAAGTGAGGCATTTGTACTATAAAGTATTTCCAAGACATTTAAAACTTTTTTCTTTGAAGTCAACTGTTCAATCATTTTGTTCCATTCATTAATGTATTTCTTTGAGAATGAAAATTCTTTTGGATCAAAATGCTTGCGTAGAAATGGAATTTTGTATTGTTTGTATACTTTTTGTGGTATATTAACAAATTTCTGCGAAATAATGTTAGATTCCTTTGTCGAAGGCAGCAACAAAAGTGACCTAAATATGTTAGCAAAGCCCTGTAAATTTTCACTGTCAGGAAGCATGAAAATTTGTCTATGTGAAAATCTAGATTTGACACGCTTTTCCAAAAGCTCAATTACATCCAAACGACTTGTGATTCCAAGCACACAAATCGGTGTTTGAGCTGATTGAGCAACATCAAACAAATTATATAAAAGAGTTTGATTATGATGCGTACAGAATAGATCAATTTCATCAATTATGAATATTAATCGCTGCAAATCTTTTCCTAAAATAGAATTAAATAACATTTTTTTTGTTTTTATCCAAAAGAATGCTCACTTCTAGACATACCTGCCTTAAGACATGATAATAAGAATGACAAATTTTCCGAAAATGATGAAAAGGTCTTTCCTTCGACTTCCTTTTCGAGATTCATTTGTACTGTAGTCGATTTTAGTGCCAGTCGATCATCAATATGAATTAATCCATTCAAATAAATCACTAAAGTATTTGACACAAAAACATTATCTTGTACCAGGTCAAATAAAACAGAATTCAGGAGCTGAAAATATTATTTAAGTATACATATTTTAAGGATAATAATTAACACGTTTAAAGTATAATTTACTTACAGTAGATTTTCCAGATTTTTTCGGTCCAATCAATATAGCAGAATTACTTTCGCTATGTTTTGCAGTTCTTACAAAAAGATTTTTAATTTGTTCCTTCTCTTCTTCAAATCCATAAAGAGTTGTCTTATCTTTTAGCAATCTCTTCTTCAAAAATTCTCTAGCTTCATTAAAATCCATGGCTCTTATTTTTTAATAATCTCTGGACGATCGTGCAATTTTATATAAAGTAATAAAAATTGTTTGTTTTTAGTTGTAACGCGTAAAAGTAAATTTAATCATCTCGGATAATTGAATTCGCCCTTAAAGAGAAACAACAAAACTAAAAGGAGATTATCAAAAATTGAACAAAATAATTAAATTATCCTATAACTAGTGATTATTAAATGATAAAAATAGGTTTAAATTGGTAAGGAATTTTAGTTTTATTAGATCATCAATTTTAAAACTTAAGAGCCTTTTAGAAAATCATAGAATTTCAAAATTTTCATTTGTGTTTACAATTTTCCTCAATATTGAAATTCTTTGTTGTATATGAATGTTAATTTGTATTGTAATAGATAACGGATTATGGCACCACCGCCTCAAAGAAGGAACGCGACACATTCTAGACCATCGGCAACAACTCCGATGTCTGAAAGACAACAAATGGCCCTATTAATGCAAATGACTTCATCGACAACAGAAGCTGGTATTACCTATATTTTCGTTCTCTTTTATTTTTAACTTTTTTTTTCTAATAAATCTGGTTTTTAGAATTAAGTCCAAACAGTCAGAATAATAAAGCTAAGGATAGAAATGAACGAGGTGAAACACCACTTCATATTGCCGCGAAAAAGGGAGATTTGGAAGGAGCTAAAAAATTGCTGGAACAAGGATCAAATCCAAATGTTACAGATTTTGCTGGTATGATTTGAATATTAATTTTCCTTTTATTACTATGTTATATTAATGAGAAATTTCAACAGGATGGACACCATTGCATGAAGCAGCAAATCACGGACATTATCATTTGGCTCAGATACTTATTAAATTTGGAGCAAATGTCATGGCTACTGGTTTAGATGACATGACTCCTTTACATGATGCTGCCAGTTTTGGAAATCAAAAGCTCGTTAAGATGCTAATTGAAAAGGGTGCAGATCCTTTATTTAAGAATAAAAAAGGAAAATCTCCTCAAGACATAGCACATCCATCTGTAGTAAATTATTTTCGAAGCACAATTGGTAAGTTAAAATGTTGTACCATAAATTACGCGTTATAAACAAAAAGAATCGAGAATAAATGATGATTATCAATCATTGATGATTGTTGACTGTAAAGAGAGTTCATGCAAAAAAAGAGAATATAAAAAAGAAATCAATAGTGTTAAATAACGGGATCAATTAAAATTTTATCATTAGCTCATTATTATTAATCAAACTTAATATTTATAAAAAATGTAAAATATTATTTATTATTTCTCAATTTTTTTTCATAATAATTTTTTAATCACTCACTTATATTCCAATTCTTGTATTTTGTTCTTAAGCATACACTCTCAAAATTCGCTCACATAAAAAAAACTCTCATCGAGTAAATTTTATTTATTTTTTTGTTCATAATTTCCTATGGTAATTTTCGTCCAATATTATTGCACGGTTTGAATGAGTTAAATTTTTGTTACCTTATTTCTAATATAAAGCTTCAAAAAATTAATCAGAGAATACAAACAAATCAGACTTAGAAAGTTAATTATAATTTGTTTTAAAGAAATTTTTAATAAGCAACAAAAGAAGACAATTGGAGATTTAAAGAAATCGGCAGAGAATGAGGATACAGGAACAGTGGCATCGACAAGCTCTGCACCATCAGACATTTATGAATTTGTTTCAACACCAAAACATTCATCGTGCAGTTCCGGAGATGAAAATCCAATAAAAAGTTTTAATAAATCGTCAGATGAAAAAAGTGGTACGGATAGTGACTCGCCAACAATGAATGCAGTCCCATTAAATGTTCAACAGAAAAGGACATTAAGTGATCAGGTTGATCGAAATGATGGAACGTCATCGCCAACAGATGATGATTCTAAACGAAAGAAAAGGAAAGATTCAGATTTTGTGGTCAAAGATGGAGGAATTAAGGCTAGTGGAACATCAACAGGAACAAGTAGGCTTGGATCTCGAATAATTGGTCAAAAAATTCCTGGTCCAGCATCGAAAACATTAGGTTTGATGAATAAAACTGGTGGAAATATTGAACGTAAAAGTCCTTGCGAAACTCCAAATGTTCAATCAACAAAATCACCAGAAACTGAAATTGATAATGACGATTCGAAGAATGGAGAAGGTCCAAAAGTGCCACCATTAAAAATAGTAATACCACAACAACAAAATTCAGCTGGTCCTTCAAACGACTCACAAGAAGGAGTTCAAAATTCAAATTTGCGTGCAAATAAAACAACAATAACAAGAAATGTCTCAGGACATCCTTATATTATGACAACTGCAAACGAAAGTAGTAATATAACAAATGAAAAGGAGTCAATTAGTACGATTACATCAGTAGCAGCAACAATAACAAGAGGACAAAGTCCATCTGTTGATTCCAACAAGTCGAGCGATGATACAAAACCTTCAAGTAAATCAAAAGAATCGCGCATTTTAAGAAGTTCGCAAAGAAGTGGAAAGGATTCGAAAGATGATCGAAGTTCCAATAATTCATCTCCTCAATTGCCAGTTAGTTCAACACCGTCACCAGCTGCTCAAAACACAGACAGTTCCTCAAATGGAAATGGAAATGATTCAGAAGGACATCATTTAGTACAAACAGTCCAGACTTCTTCAATTCAGACATCTGTCAGTTCGACATCTGCAATAGTTTCGACGTCAACGTCGTCGCTACAAGTTTCAGCAGCAGCAAATAGTAATAATCAACAATCAACACAATCTCAACAACAGGCACAAGGAACGTCAACAGCGTCAACATCATCGCAAAGTTCGTCTGTTGATCTTCATCCCAGGAAAAGAAAAATTAAAGCAAGCAGTAAGGAATCATCACAAAATTCCTCATCCTCTTCGTCTACATCATCATCATCGTCATCTAATGTAGATATTAAGGATAATAATTCAAAAGATGGACAGGAAAAATCAAATGAATCAGTTCATCCTCATGATCAACCGTTTGCTAATTGTTATCAAATGTATATAGATTTAAGGAAACAGATTGAACAGAGACACAGAAATTTACATCCAATAGAACCGAGACCTCTCAAGGGACTCGAAGATTATCTCATGAATCGTAGAACTTATTCTTTGCAAGGTAAGACACCTACTGAGCCAAATATCATCATTCCGCCACTTTTACCAACTCAAATGAAAGATACGTTTGTCGAGCAAGAAAAAGAGCGGCACAGACTGAAAATGAAGCACATTGTCGAAAAGGAAAAATTAGTTTTATCAAAAGAACAAGAAATTCTCCGTGTCCATTGTAAAGCAGCCCAGATGCAAGCTAGTCAACCTCAGCCCTTTTCAGTTTGTACAATTTTAAAAGACGAAGAAGTTTATAATCCAATAACACCTGAACATGAAGAAAGATACAATAACCGTTCATTTTTCAAAGAGCTTAAAGATTTAGATGACAAATGGGACAAAATTAAGGTACGATATTAAGAAACCCAACTTTATTTTACTATCATTTTTATTTATTTTATGTTTCTAGGAAGCAATCATAATTAGACATACAAATGAAGCAGAAAGTCTTCATGCTGTTCAGAAAATGGATTGGGGATGGAAATTAAAGGAATTAGCACTTTGTGATTACAAGGCAACACCTGAAATTGAAGAACTTCATGTCCCAATGGTTGATGTTAGTGACGAATATACTACACCAAGTATCAAAAATTGAATCAAATTTTAGAATTATGTTTAAAATAAAAATAAATTCACTGCGCATTTGTTTATACAGTTTTATTTTGAACCAATAAAAATGCACATTTTTTTTTAAATATAACTACAAAATTAAAATTCTATTTTTCAACATTAATTGCTGAGCTCCAAGCTTTTGCATTTACCTCCTTTAATATTGATGTTAATGAGTTTCCTGGCGCACATTCGAAAGTTTTTGGAAAATGTTCATTTTTACTTCTCTCATACATAATATGAAGTAATTGTTCCCACCGAACTGGCTTAATAATTTGTTTTGGTAATTGTTTATATATTTGTTCAGCATTCTTATATATTTTTCCATCTATACATGAATGAACATAAATGAAAGGATCATTAAGTCTAATTTTACTCAATGCTTTTCTGAATGGTTCTACAGCTGATGCCATAAGTTTTGTATGAAATGCTCCATTGACTGGAAGTCTTTTTATTTTTCTTAATTTAAATTGTTGTTTGTTTTTATCGAGAAAATTTAGAGCTTCTAAACTTCCTGCGACAACTTTACAATGAGGAAACAAATAATTAGCTATTTGACACTCTGCATTTTCAATGCCACGTTCAATACACCATTCTTTTGCTTTAGTGCAAGCTTCTCCTAATGACGAATCTGGTCCATAAAAAATAGTTGCCATTCCTGATGGATATCTTTCGCTAGCTTTTTGCATTTCTTCAGCACGAATTTGAATTAATTTAATACCTTCGTCAAAAGGAATAGAGCCTGCAAATATAAGTGCCGTAATTTCTCCCAAACTGAATCCTGATGTAGCAACGCATGTTTCTATTGCGTTTGGCCGGGATTCTTTAAGTCTTTCTAATGATGCTAAAGAAGTTACTGCGATGGCTGGTTGTGCATATACTGTTTGATCCAATTTATGTTTTGGCCCTTTGAGACAAATTTCCAACAAGTCATATCCTAAAACTTCCTTTGCAATTTGAAACATATCTCGAGATTCCGGAATTTTCATCAGTTTTTCTGCCATGCCAACATACTGTGATCCTTGACCCTATTTAGTTGTAGAATTGAAATTATATTGGGTCTCAGCATAAAAAATTTAAAATTGTTGCGTTAACATAATTAAATGAACAAAATTAAGTTAAAATGTCAAATTTAATTTTCCCGTTGAGAAAAAAAGTCCTCAAAAAAGGGTGAAGGACATATTCATATTATTGTTTAAGCAGCAATAAATATTTACCGGAAACATAATTATTGAAGTGTCTCTCGGATCAACTTTTAATCTGTCAACTTTTTTACCCTGATCCCTTTTATCAAATACAGCTCCTTCCGGATACGGACTTGTGTACCAAGTATTTTCTTTTGATACAGGCTGTTGATCTAGCCTATAAAAAAATGTAATAGGTTTTTTATTTAAAAAAAATGTACAAGTAGCTAATATTACCCAGTTGCTGCAGATTCTAATAAGTCTTTTAATTTATTATTACATCTTAATTTATTTGTTACACTAAAATTCCTTAGTATTACACGATTTGTAAACATCATTCACTCACAATCTTATTTTGATTCAATTTATTGAAAATTAATAAATTGTTTTGAGGCGAATTCAAAAATAATGAGGCAATGATTCTAAAACTGTGTGTCGCGGTACACAGTGTTTAGACAAATTAAACATTTCGTGTAATTTTATTATTTTTTTTTCAAAAAAAAGCAAAATTATAATGTGTAGTGTAGCTGAAGCAGATTTTGGTGATGAAGGAGGTAAACATACAATGTTAAAGGACGTTGCTTTGAATGCTATAGAAGATGAGAATTGTAAGAAATGCAATGTGGACAAATGTGTAATAAAACTGGATTTTAAAGAAGCAATGTGTTTGTCATGCTTTTTGTATTATGTCAGACACAAGTTTCGAGCAACTTTAGGATCATCGAAAATTCTCAATCGGCAGTCTGATGTTTTATTTGATTTTAAAGGAACAGCTGCAGACGTTTGTTTATTACATATGATCAAGTTCGCATTTGAAGAGGAAACGTATAAAAGACTTTCATTTAAGTTAAAGCTTGTATTTGTCGATGAAAATTGTACAGCAACAACTAACACTGAAGATGCTTTAAGAAATCGAATGACAAAAATTCAAGAAATTAAAGATATTTTGCAGCAATTTCCAAGTTTCACTTGCTGCTATTCAACGATTGCAGATAAAATATTTGATGATATATCTATAATCTCGCGTGAAAAAGTTTTGGCTTTGATTGAGTCTGAAAAAGAATTTTCATCGGTTTATCATTCAATTGATACACTTTCATCAAAACAAGATTTTATGGAAATTATGAGGAAAAATGCTTTACGGGACACAGCTCACCATCTTAACTGCAGTTACATATTTTTATCGGATATAAGTGTTGATTTAGCCAAAAAGTTAATAAGTAACATAGCCCTTGGAAGAGGATCGTCTGTATCCAATGATGTCGGGTTTTTAGATGATCGAATTAGTTGTATAAAAATTATAAGACCATTAAAGGATTTGAATCAACATGAAGTAGACAGCTATGTTCAGTTTAATAATTTAAAATTTTGCTCATTTTCGAATTTTTCATCGAATGATAATGTTGCGAGTATACAAAACTTAACTTCCAATTTCATCAATCAACTGCAAAAAAACTGCTATAATTCAACGGTTTCAACTGTCTACAAATGTTCAAATAAAATAGCTTCAAATAATGAGACAATATCTTGTCAAAATAACACAATTAATTCCAAAATGGCTCGTTCCTATATAACGGATATGAATCAACGATGTCTTTTATGCAAGTCAATTTTAGATTACCATCATTCAGAGACCTTGTATGCTATCGAATTTTCACGTTGTGTCTCGGGTCAAATAGCTGCTAACATTGAAGGAATGGAGAACTTGGAAAGAATTCGAGAGTCTTCAGAAAATGCCAAGAACTCCATTGAAAATAATCGCAACAAATTTTTATGCCATGGATGCCGAAATATATTTCCTGAAACAAACCAAGAAAATTTTATCTTTTGAAATGTTGAAACGCAATTTTTATTTAAGTGAAATAAACTAATAAATAAATATAAATCTTTTTTTTTAAATTTTAACGACAAGTGATTTCATTGTCTCTTCTTTTTTATCTTTATCTTACATTCCTCCGAGCACTTAGTCGATCACTTCATCAATATCTATATATTTATATAATATGTAAGAATGCATTAATTCATAAATTTGTAGCTTAAATATTCACACACTGAGTCTAATTTTCATCATTGACGTGTTTTTTTTTTAAAGTTTAAATGAGTGATTAAAGCTCACTCCAAGTGTCAATTTATGTTAAGTATATGATTAAATTCAAAATAATAAAACTAATTAGTGAAATAAAAGGAAAGATCTGCAAAGTCATTTGCACCAAAGTTTAATTCTTAGGTAATGGTGGCATAATTGATGGTGGAGGATACGACGTGAATGCCATTGGAAATTGTGGAAACTGCATTTGCTGCTGTTGGTAATGGTTATTGTAAGTAGAAGATGGAGCAGCATGTGGAACAGGAAATTGCTGTGGTATATTTTGATCAAAATTTGCAATTTGTGGTTTATATACATTTTGCTGATATCCAAAACTTCGTCGATCATAACTTTTGTAGTTTGTACCCTCCTTATTATTGGAACCGAAACGCATATTACCATTATTAAATGAACGCTTATTATCATTGTCTCCAACTGCGTTATTCATACGTGGCCTTTTGTTGAGCATGTCATTATTGTTGGGATGAGTTCGCTTTATTCCTGCATTCGGAATAAATCCTTTAGTTTTGCGCATATTTCCCTCTTTAAACAAAAAAAAAAAAAATAATTAGGTTGACAAGAAAATTAAAAAAACTTTTTAAAAAACACGCTTTTATCAAAAAGACTAAAAACCAAGAAGATGAAAATAAAATAAGATCACACTTTTTGCGAATCAGCATTTTAAAATTTTCTTGTGACAACTAGAAATGTAACATAAATTTTTTTCAAAATATTGTGATTAAGTCCAAGAACTTATGCTGTGCGAAAGCATAGCTGATAAATGAAGACTTTCTATGGTAAGATTCTAGTTTACAAACTTATGCTGTGCAAAGCACTGCTGATCTATAGAGACTTTAAATAATTTTTTAAAACTAAAAAGTAGAAAAAAAATAAAATTATAAAAAAAACTTTTTAAAAAACCACGTTTTTACCCGTGGACTTAAAAGTAGATAAAAACTTTTTTATTGGGTTCAAAGGATATTGGTTTGAAAATTTGAGATTGATTTGAAAGTTTCATACTAAAGTCATGATCATACATGAATGAAGATTTTTTCACTTCGACCTTATCGTATAGTTCTACATCTTAAAACGTGGGCACATTCATTAATATTGTATATTTGGGAAGCTTAAATTTCATATAAATGCGCCAAACTAGACTCTTACAAAAGAAAGTCTTCATCTTTACTTTCTATCGCACAGCATAAGTTTGTAAACTAGAACGAAACCATAGAAAGTCTCCATCGATCCACGTGGTAAAAATCGATTACATTTTTGTATTGATTCACAGATTTGAGTTTAACGGTTTTGTTTAATTCAAATGTGAACGGTTTTCAAAATTCAAATAGTCATCAAAAATTTTCATGAGAAAATGACTTGCTGAAAATGTTTTCTGGTCAGATTTCTCAAAATGTACGAAAAAATTCTACATTAATTAATGTTTTCAGTATGTAATGATACATCAAACAACATTGATTCATTTTAAGTTTCATAAAGTGTTATCAACTGATGTAAAAATTCATTGAAATTGCCTATCATTAACATTGGATTATTTTCATAATTTAAATGTTTTTTACTATAATTAAGCATTTCTAAGCTCCACAAATGCTTCAATCAATATTTTTTTGAAAATAGTCTCCTATGATCGAAAACACAAAAATGCTTTAAACTGCATTTTAAAACATATCTAGGTCTTAAAAATGATAAACAATGCTAATATAGATATAAAATCGATATTTTTTTGAAAATAGTCTCCTATGATCGAAAACACAAAAATGCTTTAAATTGCATTTTGAAACATATCTAGGTGTTATAAATGATAAAGAATGCTAAGATAGATATAAAATCGATATTTTTTTTTGAAAAAAACCTACTATAATCAAAACCAAAAATGCTTTAAATTGCATTTTAAAACATATCTAGGTATTATAAATGATAAAGAATACTTGTAAAGATATTAAATCGAGATTTTTTTTGAAAAAAGCCTACTATGATCGAAACCAAAAATGCTTTAAATTGCATTTTAAAACATATCTAGGTATTATTAATGATAAAAATGCTAATATAGATATAAAATCGATATTTTTTTTTAAAAAATCCTAATTTGATCGAAACCAAAAATGCTTTAAATTGTATTTTAAAACATATCTAGGTATTATAAATGATAAAGAATGCTAATATAGATATAAAATCGATATTTTTTTTTGAAAAAAGCCTACTATGATCGAAACCAATTTATTGTTATCGTATTATAAATGATAAAGAATGCTAATATAGAAATAAAATCGATATTTTTTTGAAAATAGTCTCCTATGATCGAAAACACAAAAATGCTTTAAATTGCATTTTAAAACATATCTAGGTATTATAAATGATAAAGAATGATAATATAGATATAAAATCGATATTTTTTTGAAAATAGTCTTCTATGATCGAAAACACAAAAATGCTTTAAATTGCATTTTAAAACATATCTAGGTGTTATAAATGATAAAGAATGCTTATAAAGATATTAAATCGATATTTTTTTTGAAAAAAGCCTATTATGATCGAAACCAAAAATGCTTTAAATTGCATTTTAAAACAAATCTAGGTGTTATAAATGATAAAGATTGCAAATATAGATATAAAATCGATATTTTTTTTTTGAAAAAAGCCTACTATAATCAAAACCAAAAATGCTTTAAATTGCATTTTAAAACATATCTAGGTATTATAAATGATAAAGAATGCTTGTAAAGATATTAAATCGAGATTTTTTTTGAAAAAAGCCTACTAAGATCGAAACCAAAAATGCTTTAAATTGCATTTTAAAACATATCTAGGTATTATTAATAATAAAAATGCTAATATAGATATAAAATCGATATTTTTTTTTTAAAAAATCCTAATTTGATCGAAACCAAAAATGCTTTAAATTGCATTTTAAAACGTATCTAGGTGTTATAAATGATAAAGAATGCTTATAAAGATATTAAATCGATATTTTTTTTGAAAATAGTCTCCTATGATCGAAAACATAAAAATGCTTTAAATTGCATTTTGAAACATATCTAGGTGTTATAAATGATAAAGAATGCTAAGATAGATATAAAATCGATATTTTTTTTTTGAAAAAAGCCTACTATAATCAAAACCAAAAATGCTTTAAATTGCATTTTAAAACATATCTAGGTATTATAAATGATAAAGAATACTTGTAAAGATATTAAATCGAGATTTTTTTTGAAAAAAGCCTACTATGATCGAAACCAAAAATGCTTTAAATTGCATTTTAAAACATATCTAGGTATTATTAATGATAAAAATGCTAATATAGATATAAAATCGATATTTTTTTTTGAAAAAAGCCTACTATGATCGAAACCAATTTATTGTTATCGTATTATAAATGATAAAGAATGCTAATATAGATATAAAATCGATATTTTTTTGAAAATAGTCTTCTATGATCGAAAACACAAAAATGCTTTAAATTGCATTTTGAAACATATCTAGGTATTATTAATGATAAAGAATACTAATATAGATACAAAATCGATTTTTTTTTTTTGAAAATAGCCTACTATGATCGAAACCAAAAATGCTTTAAATTGCATTTTAAAACAAATCTAGGTGTTATAAATGATAAAGATTGCAAATATAGATATAAAATCGATATTTTTTTTTTGAAAAAAGCCTACTAAGATCGAAACCAAAAATGCTTTAAATTGCATTTTAAAACATATCTAGGTATTATTAATAATAAAAATGCTAATATAGATATAAAATCGATATTTTTTTTTTAAAAAATCCTAATTTGATCGAAACCAAAAATGCTTTAAATTGCATTTTAAAACGTATCTAGGTATTATAAATGATAAAAAATGCTAATATAGATATAAAATCGATATTTTTTTTTTTGAAAATAGCCTACTACGATCGAAACCAAAAATGCTTTAAATTGCATTTCAAAACATATCTAGGTATTATAAATGATAAAAAATGCTAATATAGATATAAAATCGATATTTTTTTTTGAAAAAAGAAAATTTTTATAATCCTGATTCGTTAAAAGTGTCTTTGTTAAAAAGTTTTTTTAACGTGTTTTTATTTGCTACTGTTTAGTCTAAATTTTTTAATCGAATTTCGACCACAACAATTCAAATTCAACTCTACTTCGTTTCTTTCCGTCTCGTTCAACTGTTAGATTACATAGATTACAGTAGGTTTATAGGTTACAGGTGTATTGAACTTCACTTCGTTAGTAAAGTACATTAAAAATCAATCTTAGAGATTTTGTGTTTATCTGTACCATTCCTGCAACATAATGTGTGGATTCTTAACTTATAATGTATTTTTCAAATTTAAAATCAATAAATGTCATTTATATGGTATACAAAAATACGTCAAGCCGTTAATAAATAGAAAAGTCAATTTAATTAAATTGGTGAAGTGTTATAAATATTGTGATTAATGGTTTTTTTTTGAAAATTCAAATTTTCACTTACAAATATTCATAAAAAAAATTACTTGTCAATTTTGTCATCCTCCCAGAAAATCTTTAGCTTCACCAATTTTTAATATAATTAATAATCAGTAATATTAATTAAACTATAATGAATCATATAAATGACTTTTAAGCATTTCTAGTATAATATTTCAAACAAATTAGAATTTTATACAGCAGTAGAAGTGTTCGAAAATCGATTGCAAGATTTGAACGTGACCAACCAACCAACCAACAGAGCAACTCAATAAAAAGCGTGTAATAATTAATAAATAAAATTTACTTACTTCTTCCATATGAATTTTTGCTCATTTCAATCAACTCTGGATTAATGATTTGATTAGCTTCTCGCAAAACATTGATTAAATCATTAACCTTGGGTGAGTTTGAAGGAGTAAAGAAAGTATATGCAGTTCCAATATTATTCAATCGTCCTGTCCTGCCAATTCTGTGCACATAGTCTTCAGAGTTATTTGGATAATCATAATTTATTACATATTTCACATCGTAGACGTCTGATTGATTTGTTTTTTGATAGATTTATTTTTCAAGTGAAAAATGGAAGAGAAAAAAATTCATTTTTCCCAGAAAATTTATAGAAATTGTGTTTTAAAATAGAAAACACAGAAGTACCATGGTTAGCATTAAAAAAGAAAAATTAATAAAAGTTTTAAAAAAATTTGTATAAAATTATCAAAAAATAAAGAAATTTCTAGTTCACACATTTAATTTCAATCTGTTATTATTATTTTTCCTACCTGCCGGGAAAATGAAAAATGTTTTTAAAGCATTAAACCTTTCATACATCCTCAACTAATTCATTTGCTCAATACAAATCATTTTTAAATTTAAAAACCTGTATTTTTTTAATCAAAAAGAAATAGAAATTGAAAATCCTGCAACAGGTAGTGTATATCTGACAACTTTAATTGGATTAAATCAAAGGAATGGGCAAATGATAAAATTTTATAATAAAATAAAATGCAAAGCATCTTAATTTATTTCAACATGAAATTCAGACAAATGAAATAATTCATTTACATCAATTACGTATGTATGTAGTGTCGCTGCAAAAGTGGAATCTGGTGTCTTGAGATGTACATTTATATCTTTAGATATAAACAAAGACTTCACTTGGTTCATGTCAGGAACATAATTTATTGTCTCTATACTCTATTTTTTATTATTATTACTTTGTTCATTCAAATTAAGCCGTAATTTATAAGAAGATCAGTTATTGGTTTTTTTCATTACTTCATGACGAATTAAGGTTTTAAATTATTTCTTTATTTGTTTTAAGGTAAGGTAAAATATGACTAAGATTCGGACAATGCTTACGACAAAACACCTGCGCAAAGATTTAAGCTTCACTGATTCATAACAAAATTAACTTAGGACACTATTGTAGCTTTACTCAATTAAACTTAATTCAAATTCAAAATTAAAGTTAAATATTGTTAAAATACTACTTATCCTGTTTACTTGGATTTTTCAATCTCCTTACCATTCTCTTCACAGTACCACTCCACTCGAAAATAATCGCATTCAATATGATTGATAAAATTTATGCTAAATATTAAAAATTAGGTATAAATTGTCAACATACATGCAATTATCCATATTTCCAATGGAACTTTAAAGTGAAGATCCCTTCCATTTTTATCTGCTTATTTTCACATTGTATGACTTTTTTTATAATTTAAATAAATCACTTTTCATTCATTTTTCATTTTTAAAATAAATATTGTTTTAGATAATTCGGTGTGTACTTTTTTTTAATAAAACATATAGGTATGTGTGTATTTTTTTTTTCATGATTTCTTTTGTTTCAGTCAAAAATTATTGGCCGCAAGATCTTCTATAAATTTTTAGATCTCAAATAGTTTTTTTATATCATTACTTTTTTAATATCACATAATTTTCATAAATAAGAGTCCTATACACAAACACCAACCCTTAATAGTGATTTTCAAAACAGAATTTTACAAAAAAAAAAGACCAAGAAAGAGTCTTAATTATTTTGAATTAAGTCAAAACTTTAATTTTTTTTTTAAAAAATAGTACGTCTTTAGAATTGATATGTTCTGCATTCTCCAAAGTTTTTCTTAAGCCTTAACAGTATTTGAAAATCACTATGCCCATAAATGTTAATGCAAATTACGGTATGTTTTGAGAAACATTTCCCAGTATTCAGAAGGCAGTAAAAATTAAAATAAGCATACTTTACCAAAGATTTCACTGGAACTTCTTTTGGTGACCTAAAGTTGTACTTCTACATTTAAAAGTTTATATTAAAAATGAGACTAATAAGAGTTTTAAAATATGATAATTAAATTATATCTTCGTGAATACTGGAATACTCATATTATTTAAGCGTAATTTTGCCCTTAAAATCTAATGAAATCAATGTTGATGTATGTGATTGAAAATTTTAGTAAAAACTTAAAGAAAAAGAACAATGATAAATAAAATAATATCCATCTGTTTTGATCAAACAAGATCTCGGACCACAATCTGACTGATGTTTAGAAAAAAAAGGGAAGAAGGTTCTGAAGAATGGACAAGATTAAAACACTTACCGAGACCTCTGCTAGCAACATCAGTTGCAACTAATATTTCCACATTATGACGTCCAGAACGGAATGAACTCAGTGTATAGTCTCTTTCAGATTGACTTTTGTCACCATGTATTGATACAGCATTAAATCCGCGTCTGTTTATTGCTCGTGTTATTTCGTCTGCTCTGCGCTTAGTTTCGACAAAAACAATCGTCTTGCGATCATTTTCTGCAGATATATCCGACAAAATTTTTATCAACTTTCCCTCCTTTTCAGTTTCATCACAGACATCAATTATTTGAATGATGTTATGATTTGCTGAAAGATTTAATGATCCAATATTGATCTGAATATAATCCTGGAGAAATTCTTCAGCTAAATTTTTCACTTCTTTTGGCCAAGTAGCTGAGAACATTAATACTTGGCGATCTTTTCGAATTTGTGACATTATTTTTTTAATCTGCGGTTCAAAACCCTTTAATTTCAAACAAATTTAATTAGTCAAATTCAAGCGTTGCTTTAATAAGTTTTTTGTCCTTACCATGTCCAACATTCGATCAGCTTCATCCAAAACAAGATAAGTACAACGGCTCAAATTTACGACACCACGCTCAAGAAAATCTATCAATCTTCCGGGAGTTGCTATACAAATGGCACAGCCGCGTTCTAAGTCACGAATTTGATTGCTTTTTGCAGCACCTCCATAAATACAGCTTTATTTGTCAAATTGAAAACGTAAATATAAAATTAAGTATATAATTCAGTAATGAAAACTAATTTTATTTTTTTTTTGCATTTTAAAAAAGATCTAAAGTGTTAGAATCTTACCAATTTGAAATATTATTGCAATTTCCAAAGTCATTAGCAACAACTTGTATTTGTTGTGCCAGTTCTCGAGTTGGTGACAAAACCAAGATGATTGGACCTTCACTGTTTCTGACTGTAGGCTGATCTTTTAAATGAATCAATGCTGGCAGTAAATAAGACAGTGTTTTTCCAGATCCAGTTTTTGCAATTCCAACCAAATTACGACCTGACAAAATTACTGGCAAAGAGCCTGCTTGAATGCTTGTAGGCTCGACAAATCCTTGCCGTTGTAATTCATTTGTAATAAATTCAGGAAAATTAGCCTCATTAAAGAATTTTAAAGGCTTGTACATATCTGCATCGCGACCAATGGTTGTTATCTCGTATTTTGTATTTAAAGTTTCAATTTCGTCTGATGATCTCTTTAAAATCGATGGATCTGGACTGTAAAAATCTTTGCGAAACGGAGCCAAGTTTTCAAAGTTTGGACTCATTAAGCTGTCTGCTTGTTGAAAATTATTCGCATTTTGATATTTGTTGCGATAATTCATATTGTTTGGTTGATTGCCTGATGGTCTGAACCTTTAAACAATTAATATTACAATTGTATCAGGCTCATCAAATTATTGGTTTTTAAAGATTTTTTGAAAACATTTTTGTAATTAAAAACTAGTGTATCGGGTAAAAACCCAATGCGGATTATATTCACACCGTACTATCAAAAGTCTTATGGATAGACCATAGACCAAGATTTGCCCATCATAAGTATAAAGATATGAAGCTTGATAAGTCAACTTAGCATAAGTTTGAAGATATAAAGCTAAGCTTCGCTTAGCATAAGTTTGAAGATATAAAGCTATCGTGTCAGCTGAGCTTCGCTCAGCATATGTTTGAAGGTATAAAGCTTGACGAATATGCCAAACATTCTTTAAGTTTTTTAAAAAAAATTTTCATCCAAAGTTGAATTTTATAAAAATCACAGTCAACTTTTGTTTTAAAAAATTCTTAAGAAAGGAAAGTTTTTTGCTATTTCTGAAGCAACGGCTGTTCCTACCTTGCCCAAAAACAATACAGCTCTTCTATAGAGCAGCACGGATCAAATGTAAAAAACTAGAAGTCTCTACGATGTCTCGTTATTGAGATTTATTGCTGATTAACTTGCTTGTTTGCTTACAGAAAGCTTTTTTTGCGATTTTCTCAGCAATGCCGTAACCGATTTGAAATCTATTTTTTGAAAATGATGTAAAATTTCAGGCACAAACTTTTCTTCTTTGAACTCTTATAACAAATTTTGCTTTGTTTTCTCACAAAATGCGAAAAACTGATTTTTCAATCTGAACAAAACCAATAGATTCACACGTGAAAACGGTGTGAATATAATTAAGTAAAAAATCGGAATATGAAGTCAGTTTTTGCTTAAATATCTTAATTAGTTGCAAAATAGTTGTTGTCTAGCTCTTTATGTATATTAGAAACAATGTAACAAAAATATGCAACGCAGTAATGAAATTGTTTCAATCTGAACAAAACATCCATGAAAAAGTTTTTTTTTTTTTGAAATTCTATAACTACGTAATAATCAAGTGATTGCAGTTTATTTTATGAAACTTTAGCTAAATGTTTGATTAAACTTACATTTTTCACAGCTGGATCACTTTTTTAAAACGTTTAATTAAAATTTTTTATTTTATAAACTTTTTCGAGGTAGAGAAAAAATTTTCAAAGCAAATTGGAGCGAATTGAAATAAGAAGAAACAAAAATAAATACAAATTCTATAAATACGTTAAGACTTTGGATGATTTTATTCATCGTAAATAGGAATAATAATTTATTTAAATATATTATTTAATAGATCCTTTAAAGATTTATACTCCTTTGGAGTGTAATTTTAATCGCTCGTGCTTGGAGTAGTATATTCGTCACTAACATCAACCATTGGGACATGTAGTTCTTCAATTTCAGGTGTTGCCTTGTAATCACAAAGTGCTAATTCCTTTAATTTCCAATCCCAATCCATTTTCTGAACAGCATGAAGACTTTCTGCTTCATTTGTATGTCTAATTATCATCGCCTCCTGTACATCATAAAATATCAAAATGATAATAAGATATACTAAAATATTAAAAAGTTGCTACTTCCTCATAAAATTTACCTTAATTTTATCCCATTTGTCATCCAGTTCTTTCAGGGCTTGATAAAATACTCTGCCATGAGATCTCTCTCTATTTTTATTTCTATATTTTTCTTCTTGTTCAGGAGTAATTATGTTGTAAACTTCTTCATCCTTGAGCATTGTGCAAACTGAGAATGGTTGTGATTGATTTGCAATCATCTGGGCTGCTTTACAATGGACACGAAGAATTTCTTGTTCTTTTGATAAAACTAATTTTTCCTTTTCGACAATGTGCTTCATTTTCAGTCTGTGCCGCTCTTTTTCTTGCTCGACAAACGTATCTTTCATTTGAGTTGGTAAAAGTGGCGGAATGATGATATTTGGCTCAGTAGGTGTCTTACCTTGCAAAGAATAAGTTCTACGATTCATGAGATAATCTTCGAGTCCCTTGAGAGGTCTCGGTTCTATTGGATGTAAATTTCTGTGTCTCTGTTCAATCTGTTTCCTTAAATCTATATACATTTGATAACAATTAGCAAACGGTTGATCATGAGGATGAACTGATTCATTTGATTTTTCCTGTCCATCTTTTGAATTATTATCCTTAATATCTACATTAGATGACGATGATGATGATGTAGACGAAGAGGATGAGGAATTTTGTGATGATTCCTTACTGCTTGCTTTAATTTTTCTTTTCCTGGGATGAAGATCAACAGACGAACTTTGCGATGATGTTGACGCTGTTGACGTTCCTTGTGCCTGTTGTTGAGATTGTGTTGATTGTTGATTATTACTATTTGCTGCTGCTGAAACTTGTAGCGACGACGTTGACGTCGAAACTATTGCAGATGTCGAACTGACAGATGTCTGAATTGAAGAAGTCTGGACTGTTTGTACTAAATGATGTCCTTCTGAATCATTTCCATTTCCATTTGAGGAACTGTCTGTGTTTTGAGCAGCTGGTGACGGTGTTGAACTAACTGGCAATTGAGGAGATGAATTATTGGAACTTCGATCATCTTTCGAATCCTTTCCACTTCTTTGCGAACTTCTTAAAATGCGCGATTCTTTTGATTTACTTGAAGGCTTTGTATCATCGCTCGACTTGTTGGAATCAACAGATGGACTTTGTCCTCTTGTTATTGTTGCTGCTACTGATGTTATCGTACTAATTGACTCCTTTTCATTTGTTATATTACTACTTTCGTTTGCAGTTGTCATAATATAAGGATGTCCTGAGACATTTCTTGTTATTGTTGTTTTATTTGCACGCAAATTTGAATTTTGAACTCCTTCTTGTGAGTCGTTTGAAGGACCAGCTGAATTTTGTTGTTGTGGTATTACTATTTTTAATGGTGGCACTTTCGGACCTTCTCCATTCTTCGAATCGTCATTATCAATTTCAGTTTCTGGTGATTTTGCTGATTGAACATTTGGAGTTTCGCAAGGACTTTTACGTTCAATATTTCCACCAGTTTTATTCATCAAACCTAATGTTTTCGATGCTGGACCAGGAATTTTTTGACCAATTATTCGAGATCCAAGCCTACTTGTTCCTGTTGATGTTCCACTAGCCTTAATTCCTCCATCTTTGACCACAAAATCTGAATCTTTCCTTTTCTTTCGTTTAGAATCATCATCTGTTGGCGATGACGTTCCATCATTTCGATCAACCTGATCACTTAATGTCCTTTTCTGTTGAACATTTAATGGGACTGCATTCATTGTTGGCGAGTCACTATCCGTACCACTTTTTTCATCTGACGATTTATTAAAACTTTTTATTGGATTTTCATCTCCGGAACTGCACGATGAATGTTTTGGTGTTGAAACAAATTCATAAATGTCTGATGGTGCAGAGCTTGTCGATGCCACTGTTCCTGTATCCTCATTCTCTGCCGATTTCTTTAAATCTCCAACTGTCTTCTTTTGTTGCTTATTTGCCATGTCTATGCAAAAAAATATATATATTTTAAAATTAATAATAATGCTGTTTGAGCAAGAAGAAAAATCAAAGAAAAAAAAATTTAAAGGAAATTTTTAATGTTTTGTAACACCAAAATGAAATACAATTGAAAAATTTCAAATCTGGTTGCATCTATCATTTACAGCTTTTAAGATGTGTTTTTTAACCGGCACAAATACATGTGAACTAAAAATTCAAAACTCTTCAGAAGAGGTCATTGATGCTATTTATTTCTTCTAAATTATTTCATACATTTTGTGTTGAAACATACATTTATTATTCTCTCTTATTCCTACTACTTTAAAAACATGAAAGATTAACATAAATAATTATACAAGCATAAAATTTTTTGCAATACGATTGACAATACGATATATTATCCATGATCTTTTACACTCCATACTTTTATGTACTTCTATAATCCATTATACAGGTTGAAATTGATAAAACAAAAAAAAATAACATATCGATTAAAACTGTTTACTTTTTATACAACGATTGGAATTAACAAAATGCAGAAATAATTTTCGCCCTGGTTTCCTTACAGTTTTGATTTGCTATTGCAGATGTTGTTAAGCATATTAAATAAACTCAAAAAAATGAAGCACTCACACATATTGTTTTGATAAATGGAGAAATAAATTTGAAGCGAGATATATTTAAAATTTTGACTAAGAATTGATATTCAAGTGAATGAGCTGACCTGCCTCATTATTTTTGCAGTATCTTTCGGACCACACTTGTCGGAAACTTGTTTGACATTATAATATTATCAAATCTATTTTGATCAATCCATACCGTTTATCGACATTTTAATTTAAAATTGGTTTAAGTGTGTTTTCTTAAATGCGTGTATCTTCACTTGTTTTCTCTCATTTCACTCTCATTTTCTCTCGCCTTTTTTTATTATTATTAATATTATTTTTGCAATGCAAAAGCTACAATAGTATGTGTGCATCAATAAATATGAATTTTGCTTGAAAAATCATATTTTTTTCATTAAGATATACATCAATTGATATATATGTTTATTTCGCTGTTTTTGCTAAAATAATCTAATTTGGGATAGACAATTTGAAGCTCAAGATATGGTTGTTGCAAACATCTTTAAAATATTAAATACAGAACAGAGTATTCAAAAATTTTGATATGCACCCTAATTAAAGAGTTACCAGTTAAAATGCATCACAATTTTACATATTTTTGTTTCAAGGGATAAGAGAGTTTTTCAAGGTCGTTCATGTTTACACATTCTATTACACATATTCTTTATTGATTTTTTTTAAAAAGAAATATTTCATACTAAATATGCTAAAAATCAGGAAGTTGAATTTTAAACATTAAAACAATAGGAATACTGACAGAGTATGTCATATCAACGCATAAATCGAGATTGCACATTATATAGCAATACATACTCATTTTCTCCTCCCTTTAGTGTTTGCGCAAATTTTCAACGAATCGATTGTACTGCGGGTTTCACTTTTACTGCTACCTTTTACAAACATTTATTCATTTGTGTGTAAATGCCAAATCAGCACTGAGAGAATTTTTTTTATTTCCAACAACAGTTTTATAGTATCATTATTTACGTAATTCATCATCTTTTAATTATTTTACTGTTCATTATTATATTATTGTCTTTTGACTATATCAATTAAAATACTGGGTTACATTCGGATATATTTAAGAAGCTTTTTATAATAGTTCCAATATAAACCCGAAAATAAAAACAATTCATATTTGTTTAGATAAATATATTTGAATATATTTACACAAGTGATGAGTAATACTATTACTTGTCTGTAGCAATTGATAGGAGTATTTGTTGATCTTTAATATGGAACACAAGTTTCAGTTGTGTATGCATTAAAAAATTATTAAACTCTCTCATTTTATAATCTCAAAGTGACAAATTTTGACACTTTAACATAAGAACCAGAAAAATGTAAAGTCAGAATAAACAATGAAATTTTACAAAAATGAAACGGTGAAACAATACAGACATCTATTCACAAATACAAGAATACTCATTTTATTTCCCTTCTATTTGCTAAATTTTCTTCTTTTTTCATCGTTTATTCTTTAATTTTTATCTGACAGAAGTAAAAACTTGTGATTAATATTAAAAGCGAGCAGTCTATATTTCTTGAGTTATTTGTTACTTACGTTTTATTTGATTAATTGAAATATAAAATGTTTTCCGATTCTAAAGAAAACTTTTTTTTCTAGGAAAATGTAATTTCTCTTAAGAAAAAATTTCGTTGCAAATATAAGAAATATGAATTTATACAAAAATGATGTTACATTAAGTTAACGAAAAACTTTTACGAAAACACTTCTAGTATATTCATATGATTCTTGAGTTATTTAAACTTATTATCACTAATAAGACAAGATTATTTCTTATATTTAAAATTTAGTTTTTTTTATATAAAAAATTAGGAAGTTGTCACACGTTGGAAATACACAGAGAGAATGAAAAGAAATGTATGAAAAATTCTATTCGGAAAAAGTATAATGTTGTACGTACACTAAGCGTTTTGTATGTATTAAAATTATTGTGGCTATATGGAAGGAACTCTCATTCTCAATTTTTACACTCTTAATTCAGCTTTCATACATAACATATTGTTTTATATTTGGAGTGAATAAACTCTGTTAAAATTTAAATGCCTCATTCATTTCACTCGATTTCGGAAAATATACACTAATTGCATATATATGAGTATTAAAAAAATGAGATTGAGAGCGTGTTTTTTACAAGAGACAATCATCAATCATCAGTGATATATACTGGCTCTCTCCCTGAATAGGTTTAATATATAAATATTCTTACCTGTGAAAACAGTGTTGAAGAAATTTACTACAGATGGATGTGCTAAGTCTTGAGGAGATTTTCCTTTTTTGTTCTTAAATAAAGGATCTGCACCCTTTTCAATTAGCATCTTAACGAGCTTTTGATTTCCAAAACTGGCAGCATCATGTAAAGGAGTCATGTCATCTAAACCAGTAGCCATGACATTTGCTCCAAATTTAATAAGTATCTGAGCCAAATGATAATGTCCGTGATTTGCTGCTTCATGCAATGGTGTCCATCCTGTTGAAATTTCTCATTAATATAACATAGTAATAAAAGGAAAATTAATATTCAAATCATACCAGCAAAATCTGTAACATTTGGATTTGATCCTTGTTCCAGCAATTTTTTAGCTCCTTCCAAATCTCCCTTTTTCGCGGCAATATGAAGTGGTGTTTCACCTCGTTCATTTCTATCCTTAGCTTTATTATTCTGACTGTTTGGACTTAATTCTAAAAACCAGATTTATTAGAAGAAAAAAGTTAAAAATGAAAGAGAACGAAAATATAGGTAATACCAGCTTCTGTTGTCGATGAAGTCATTTGCATTAATAGGGCCATTTGTTGTCTTTCAGACATCGGAGTTGTTGCCGATGGTCTAGAATGTGTCGCGTTCCTTCTTTGAGGCGGTGGTGCCATAATCCGTTATCTATTACAATACAAATTAACATTCATATACAACAAAGAATTTCAATATTGAGGAAAATTGTAAACACAAATGAAAATTTTGAAATTCTATGATTTTCTAAAAGGCTCTTAAGTTTTAAAATTGATGATCTAATAAAACTAAAATTCCTTACCAATTTAAACCTATTTTTATCATTTAATAATCACTAGTTATAGGATAATTTAATTATTTTGTTCAATTTTTGATAATCTCCTTTTAGTTTTGTTGTTTCTCTTTAAGGGCGAATTCAATTATCCGATAACTGAATTTGCTTCAGTGCATAAAACTCGAATTTTAAAAGAAATTTTGGAATGTAAATAAGCCAATAGATTTTTATTTCTGATATAAACTATAAAATCAGGACTTTTTAGCTTTTATCGTTTTAAAGTTGAAAAATTAGATAAAAAATGTTTAATATTTTCGCGCTATATTGAATGTCCATTAAAAAATTATATTCTTTTGATTTAAATTTTGTTTTACTGGTCGAGTTAAAAATATTCTTTTCACTTTAAAACCTATTTAAATTCATTTGAAAACCAATTTTTTACAATTTCAAAAAAAGAAATTAAGCATCATATAATTCTGATTTTCTTATTTATCAAAGTTTAATTAATCAAAATTTCAATCAAGGAATTGTCAAGTCTCCAAGTTTAATTATTTACGTGTAGGAATCAATCAGACATTAAAACAGTTCAAAATGAACATAAAGAACAGAAAAGCTAAGGAGCCGTTCACTTATTACGTTACGCAAAAAACGACTTTTTTCACCCCCCCCCCCCTTGTTACAACTCACAACCCCCCCCCCCCCCCCCCCTGAACGTTCATAATTTTTTATTCTAAAAAGACGGTTAAATTTCTTTTGTATTTTTTTTCTTAAAAATCAAAATACTGTACAGCTAAATAGGTCATGTTTTGATTGATACTATTAGTATTCTCATGAATTATTGAATTGAGATATAAATATAAGATTTTTTTTTTGAAGAAAATTCAAAAATGCTATACAAAATATTATGCCCGATCGAATTTTAGAAAATTCAATCAACTTTGAATGTAAATATCACAATGATGGGATCATATTAATCATCACATGAATGACAGATTTAGAGAGATTTACTTTTAAACTTATGATTGATTTAATTTTGAAAATTTCCACAAATTATGATAGTATTTTAAAGTCTTGTAAACCAGTCTTCTATTGATTTGTTACTTTATATAACAAAACTATGAAGCAATCATAGTTATCAAAAGCTATCAAAAGAGATCTGGACATTCATAAATCATTAAAAAGGTGGAAAATTTAAAATAATGTTTTTGGTGTGAATTTGTAAACAAATTTTTTTTTAAAAGACAGACGACAGTTAGAACGTTACATACTTCCTCCCCCCCCCCTATGTTACATTTTGTTACAATTTTTCAAACCCCCCCTCCCCCTTAAAATGCGAACGTAATAAGTGAACCCCCGTCTAAGGAGAATCTCAAAAAAGTCGCGATATAATTGAAATTTTGGAGATACATTGAAACAATACAAATATGGCACATAACCTTGACATTAAGAATTGGATCTGATCGGAATACTATAGAGCATTTAATTTCATCGACAGATCATGATCATCAGCAGTTGTGAAGAAAATTCATTGTTTCACATATTTTGTGTTTTACCAATAATCGTGGTCAAGAAGGTTTTCAATCAAGTATCGATTGCAGTTCCCTTTTTATAATCTAGATGTTTTATTTTTGATTTTTCAATGAAATACGTCTTTATGTTTTTGTTTGAGATATTCAACTGATTTATTGTTTTTCTCGGATTACTGAGATCATTATTTTGCATCTCCCTTCTCTTATCAATTCCCATATCTTTGTACTGGTTTAGGAATTCTTGATGATCGTGGGAACGGTTGTTGGTTCGAATTACTCTCTGTTGAGGTTGCAGTTGATTGGTGATGAACGGGAGATGCGGCGTTTGCATTAGAATTCAGAAGAGGTTCATGCAGTGAGTTGTCAGCGAAGAAGTTATCGAGATTGATTCTGTATCGACTAGACTCATTGCATTTCTTTTGATCAATTTGATTGGATCCTGTTGACCTATCAGGTCGAATGAATTTAGAGTTTCGTCTAATAACCCTATTATTATCCATACAAATTTCATATGATCTAGGCTCTGAACATTTCTTAACGATTGATCCTTTAGACCAGGTATTATCAGGCAATTATACACACACCTTCTGATTTAAATCGAACTCATTACGTTTATATGAATTTCGATTGTAATAAACTTTGGTATTGGTTTGCTTCTTTTCGAATTTTTCACCTTAATTGTGATTTAACTTTGGTTCAAGCAAGCTATCTTTCATTATAATTTTAGTTCTCATTCTTCTATTACTAAGCAATTGACTAGGAGACAAGTCAATATCAGTTAACGGAATGTTATTGTAATTATAAATTGCTATTAAAACTTTATTGAAATTATCGCATTTTTTCATCATATTTTTAACTATTCCTACAGCTTATTCTGCAAGACCATTCGACTGTGCATAACGAAGACTTGAAGTGACTATTTTAATATCCCACTCATGGGCAAAACTTCTACATTCAAATGAATTAAATGGCATGTTGTCTGCAATAATAGTCTTTGGAAAGCCTTGTTCTGTAAAAATCTCAATGTATTTAGAAATTACAGCGTTCGAATTCTTCGAACTTAAATATTTACACGAAATCCATTTTGAAAAGTAATCAATAACAACAAGCTAACTCTTTCCACTGTATTCAAGGATGTCACATCCGATTTTCTCAAATGATCAAAGAGGAATCTCGTGTTGAATTATTGGTTCCTTTCTATTCGATTTCTGAAACTTGTTGCACTCTTCGCAACTCTTAATTAAATTTTCTATACTAACATTTAGTGAAGGCCAATAAACTGATTCTTTGGCGAAACGTAAGGTTTTAGTAATTCCCATGTGACCTTCATGAAGATCTTTAAAAACATTTTCTCTCAATGATTTGGGAACTATTATTCTATCCTGATAAAATACTAAATCATCCGAAAGATAAATTTCATTTCGCAAATTATAAAAGAATTTTATTTCATCAGGTACTTTTGATTTGTCTGACGGCCAGCCCTCAGCAAAGTATTTCTTTAACAACGAGCATTCTTTATCTTTATCTGTCTCAGCTTGATAGATTTTTAGTTTATCATCACTAATATTTACTGAATGAATCATTTGTTTCATGAAATTCTCTTCAAAATCTACAGCTATCAAATTATTTGAAACGTATCGAGATAAGTAATCTGCTACAGGAATGCTTTTACCGGGCTTGTACTTCAAATCTAAATCATATTTGTGTAACTTTAATCGAATACGCTGCAAGCGTTTTGATCCTATCTTACTAATATCTTTATTAATTATGCTTTCTAAAGGACGATGATCAGATATTATAGTAACTTTCCTACCATAAATATAATTGTGAAACTTTTTGCACGCAAAGAAAACGGCTAAAAATTCTTTTTCAATCTGACCGTACTTCTTTTCTGTTTCAGAAAGACAACGTGAAGCAAAGCTAATAATTTTATCTCCTTGTTTTAAACATGCATTTAAACCGTATGACGAGGCATCGGTTTATAAAATTATTGGCATATTTTCATCAAATGTAGTACATGAGGTGACCTTTTTTTATTATTTTATTATTACCACGTTTTTCTTAACTTGCTTTCTTGTTTGTTTGTTTGTTTGTTTGTTTGCAAAAAATTTCAAATCTTGCGATCAATATTTCGACCACTTCTACTGCTCCAATCGAGCTGAAATTTTGCATGCACTTTTCTTTCCGTTGACAATACAATATTTAAGCATTTCGGAAACTTAAAACTGCTTAATTATAGTACGATTAAATTGAATTTTTGTTCTTTAAGGCTTAGCTTATTTTTACATAACATATGAACAACTTTCAATAATTTTAAATTTCAAAAAGCCGTTATGAGTTTGAATCACAAAAAATACGTTACACGACTTTCAATGGTTAAATTCTAGTTTACAAACTAATGCTGATCGATGGATACTTTAAATAATTTTTTAAAACTTAAAAGTAGAAAATAAATACTTTATAAAAAAAACTTTTTAAAAAACCACGTTTTTACCCGTAGACTAAAAAGTAGAAAATAACTTTTATATTGGGTTCAAAGGATATTGGTTTGAAAATTTGAGATTGATTTGAAAGTTTCATACTAAAGTCATGATCATACATGAATGAAGATTTTTTCACTTCGACCTTATCGTATAGTTCTACATCTTAAAACGATTTCTCAATCTTAAATTTCTTTCCTAAACTTTTAAACATATCTATGCTTAAAGTATTAACCTGCGATCCAGTATCCAACTTAAAATTGATCATTTTATCATGCACGAGTAATTTTTTACTCCAAACATTGCCTATTGCATTTTCTTTTAGTTCATCACAATTGATTACTACATTAGACTCACTGCTTTTGCGTTCATCATCTGCACCTTCTCCTTCTTCTTTTTGCTTATTGAATTCTCTAATTATTTGCTCTTAATTTGAGAACTTTCACGTTTATTTGACGTCGGTTTGTGAAGAACACGTTGGTCAACTGCTGATATTTGATTCGCTTTAACACTGTCTGATGCTATTTGATTCAATTGTTGTTGATTGTAGTAGAAAATTTTGATTTTGCTAATCAACGTACGTAATGACTTTTCTTCAGATAAAATGAGCTTTTCTCGCAAATTGTTGTTATATGCAGACCGAAAATTATTTGATCACGAATGGCTTCTTCTTTGAACTCATTAAATGCACAGCTATCGGCTTGGGTTTGAACGTCACTAATGAACTTGTCGACAGATTCGCCTTCTTGTTGAATTCGACCACGTAATTTCATTCGTTCAATTAAAAAATTTGATAACGGTGAAAAATGATTCTCGAGAGTCTCAAACACTTTTTCATAGTTCTGCTTCTCTGGATCTGTTAACGGCAGATTCTTGATGATATCCACTGACTTATATCCCATCAATAGTGTCAAGAAATTGAGTTTGATGTTGTCGGATTTCTCATCAAGTTGGTTGATTACCAAATATGAGTTGAATTCTTTTGAAAATCGTTTCCATTCAATTTCTAACGTCGAAGCTTCAAAATTGAACTTTTAATTCTTAAATACAGCTGCGCCATGTTTTATTTTTGATTTTTCAATGAAACACGTCTTTATGTTTTTGTTCGAGATATCTTCATTTATTT